AAGCTACATTTTCAGTTCTTCTAAACCTACTAGGCTAATTAAATAGTGGGACATTATAACGTCCATGATGGGAGAGTAAGGAGCCGTTTGCTAAACGCTTACTCGGGTAAGTGAACACCAAGTTACATTATCTTATCGAATGAATATGGTAATTACCAAGAATCCTACCCTGTAAGAGTGATATAATGACCAAGAGTCTTACTCGGTAAGTGAGGGCGACGACTCTTACCATGATAAGCGCTTATCGGGTAAATCGTTGCATACGATACCGTTTTAATGGACTAAAATCTTACCCATTAAGTAAATAGTAGTGTTAAATCTTAATGGTAAGCGCTTTTCGGGGAAGTGTTTCGTAAACGGCCCCTAAGTCTCCTAGTGGTCAATCTAGAGTGTTGTGAGAAATCTTGCGCCAAAGGAGAGTCTTAGGGCTTGTTTGTTTTTTGAAAGAAACCACTTAATGCCTCTTAAGTCTGAATCGGTCAGACGTTTTTATTTTCAGGCCGTTTGTTTTTTTTATATAAATAAGAGCTGAAAAGCTCTTATTTTGCTCTGAAAAAAAATGATAACATAATCACTTAAATCCTCTTAATTGCTCCATCCAGACTCTCCCCTCCATCCTCACCTCCAGATTTAGTCCTCCAAATCTATCTCAGTTAAATTTAATTGAAATGAATTGATTCAGATTTCAGACGTTTGTCAGTTTATAAAAACAACAGTCTTATTGATTCAGATTTTAGACTTTAGACGTAAAAACAAGCAGTATGACTGATTCAGATTTCAGACTTCAGACGTAAAAACAAACAGTCTGACTGATTCAGATTTCAGACTTCAGTACCACCTCTTAAAATTCAGAAGTGAAATCAGACTTCAGACTTCAGAACCTCTTAAAAAACAAACGCCACCTTATACATTAGACTTCATTATGCTCATTACGCTTTATGACAAAGACTTGTCTATGTCCATCAGGTTTTACACTTGGTGGGTTAGCACTACCGGACCAAATACCCGTTTCTTTATCAAATAATATTATTGTTTTTAGATTTTTTCTTTCCATTAGGCCAATGTGCTCTGTGTCGACATTTTTCATAGACCGATAAATCTTTTAAATTTTGAAAGTTTGTAGGTGAAAGACCATGAAAGTTCTATTATTCTTATGTTTTGCAACCTCGTGAATGAAAATTCATGATCACATCTTTATTTCGCAATGCACCATATAAATAAGCATTATAAAATAAAAATGTTAAACGATACTCTGTCTGTCCCAAAAATAAGTGTCCACATTTCTATTTTAGGGGTTGTTTGGTTGGTTTTCCATTAAGTCTTGTGTGGTTTAATATGTATGTACAGACTGAGAGAGTTTTTGTTTGGGAGAAGTTTTTTATAGATGAAAGGAGCGAGTTTTTTAATTGGGAGGAGCAGGTTTGCACAAAACAAGACTTTCTGCATAAATCTTTCTCTAGAAACTTATTGAAAAAACCACTTTTTATATCATTAAGCCACTACCAAAGCAGTCATGTATAACTGACCGAATAAGCTATGAGTCTCATTAAGCTCATTAAGCTGCTAAGAAACAGGCCCTTAGTTTGTCTGAATATAAGTGTCCACTTTCAAAAGTAAGTATTTTATTTCCCATTCTACACTTAATTATGAAATAGAGAAAATTTCTATGTCTATTGTTAAGGGTAATATTGTCCTTTCATTAATTAAAAAGTGTAATAATTACACATTCTCTGTTTGTTGTTAAGGGTAAAATTGTCCTTTAGTTAATTAGAAATGCAATAATTACACATTCTTAAAACTGTGTGTTTTTTTCATTGTGAACATTTATTTTGGGACATGACTCACAGCAGGAGTATTAATGAATAAAAACTTGAATCTTCTACGTTGATTTTGCAGATAGAAAAAGAAATGAGAAGATGCACACGAACTTCTCGATTTTGTTCATATGTCTTGCATGCTCGTGCCAAATCAAGGAGCAGCGACGATCTTCATCGCTCTTGTTGAGTCATGTAGTCCGATATAATTTTTTGTGAAGGTAAATTGTACAAAAATAGTACATGTTTTAACTTTTAACACAATTTCCAGTTTATGATTCATACTTCGAAAATCAATGTTGGTCTACATTTTTCTAAACAATTATTTCACAAGTTGGGGTCTTCATGGAAACAACCGTTATACTTCTTGGAGTATAGGTCTAATCTGCATACATCCCACCCCTCAGACCCCACCCCTGGTGGTATATACCTAGTTTAGTTTGGTTTAGAGCATGATAAGATCTTCCATTTACCATCTTTTTATTTGATAAGGACTGGGGAAAAAAAGCAGGGCAATGAACCATATTGGACGATTTCAACAAACGAGGGTCCGAGATTTTTGAATCACCTGTTACCGCACCAGCCCATCCAGGTGGTCTACGTGGCGGCAACTCATGTGCCTCCCCTATGGCCAATCCTGCTTCACCTGCAGTTATTGGCTCGAGAGAGAGTATGCTTAGCTTACGAGAGCAGTGACGCTTGGCAGAGGTGCCACCACAACTAGATTCAAACGGTTTCTTGCTTCGACCGAAGCAACAAAAGATCGAAAAGATGGGGCTTTCAGAAAACACACTTTCAGGAAAGATGGAACATGATTGCGAGAATCTTCACTATGATCTGCCTCAACAAAGTTGTATATATGATCGTGAGAATTCACATATGAATGATGAAAACAAATTAGTTAAAAGGGGAAATTTACATAAATAGTTTGTTAAAGGGGTTTAACTTTGTAGCCATTTTCAAACCTCGTTTCACTTTGTAGCCGATCTTTACATAAAAGGCTTATGCATATGCGTAAGAGTTGGTTTTTGGTTTAAAAAAAAGGTGAAATCCTTACACAGAAATTGTCTTTGTTAATTAAAAAAGTGTAATGATTGCATTTCTAAAACTACGTACATTTTTCTTTATAAACATTTAGGTAGTGTTTGGTACGCAAACTGGACTAGACAAGACAGGACGAGACGAGATAGGACAGGACGGGATGGGACAAGACTAGTTGTCTGTCCCATGTTTGGTACGACTAGGACAGGACAGGACAAAACAAAACTGTTAAAATGACCATATTACCTTTAAATGTTGTTCAATGTTATTTTATATCAAAAAATTCGAAACTTGCATTTTCAAATTAAAAAAATGTTTCTTCCATCTATGAATTTTTTTATCAATCTATACATACAAATTAACCCACTCATATTTCTATATTCATACAGAACTTAATGGAAAATCAAACAAAAAACCCCTTAGGGTGCGTTTGGTTTGCAGAATTGTTTCTGAGGGATTTGGATTCGCATGAGGGATTTGGATTCCATGGGATTTGGATTGGATTGGATTTAAAATCCATTACTGTGTTTGGTTTGCATGATTTGGATTGGATTTGAAATCCATTCCTGCGTTTGGTTTGTAGGATTTGGATTTGGATTGAGAACAAAAATTCTAGGTAAGCAATGYCAGCAAGATCATGGACAACTATTCATGGAGACAGAAACCCACAAAGTATTTTGAGCTCAAGATCAACCAAAATGCAATATATATATCATTGAAAAATTTAACCTAATATGTCAAAATAGTTGTTGTTAGAACAGGGTATTCAAACATATATACAATATATATATACACACCCACACATAATGAAGCTGGTTAGGTCGGCAGCTTCGTGAAGAACTAAATTAAGAAAAGGGGACATGATTAGGGTTTAAAAGGGATTTACCTGCTGCTTGATGGGAGAAGGCGGCGAAGAGGAAGTGTTTATCGGCGGCAGCTTCGCAAGGGGACGGGAGGCGACGACCACCATGAGAGACAGCGACAGAGACGGTGAGCGACGACCACGGTGGGAGACGGCGATGGAGACGGTGAGCGACGACCACCGTGGGAGACGGCGACGGAGACGGTGAGCAACGACGGTGAGCGACGACGGTTTGGAGGAGTCGATGGTAAGCTGGGAGAAGATGGAGACATTGAGCATTGGAGGAGGCGATGAGAAGATGGAGACGGTAATAGGGGAAAAAAGAAATCCGACGGAATGGATTTCAAATCCCGTCTATTTTGAAAGGATTCTCAAATCCAGTGTTGGTGGGATTTTAAATGAATCACAGGTTTTCAAATCCTACCATTCCTACAAACCAAACGTAGGATTGGATTGAATTTTAAATCCAAATCCCTTCAATTCCAGCAAACCAAACACGCCCTTAGTGGTACAATAAGTTCATCGGATGTTTTTTAACGTGTTAACAATTTTTTATATATCTTTTGAAATAAAATGCCCCGTAAGCTTTTTAATACGACATTGATGAATACATCTTTTTATCATAGAATTGTTGTTGGAATTTCAAATAAGAAGACTAAATTTCGTGAATCTTTATGAAGGTTAAGAAAGATTAATTCATATGAAGCTTTTTAATAGGACACTGATTAATTCACAACATTCGCTGCTAAAAAACCCGTCCAATTGGTGGTTTCTCAGCTCGAAGAAAGTCGGATATCGAGAACACATTTATCGGTGGCCGAAACACCATGATCAAGAAACAAGAAAACAAACATAATCAAGATCATTTCTATAGCATCAAAACAGGTTTATGTGAAGAAATGTTTGCAAATTACGTTTTTGGAATATTATATGATTTATGAGACCGGTTTTTATTTTGGGATTGAGAGAGTATTTAATTTTTTTCATTGGTAATCCTTTGAGTAGATTACGGATTACCGTTTTTATGGTTATATAAAAGCTATGGATAGAGTCCCTATGGTTACATTTTTTACAAGTTTGATCCCTGTGGTTACAGTTTTTTAACGAGTTAAGTCCCTATTAGTTATTCAGTTTTTTAACGAGTTAAGTCCCTCTGATTCCAAATAAGGACGAAATCCGTTAAAACTTGTTAAAAATGGACTTGGGCCTATTGGTGACGATTTAATGAGTTGGACTCGGCCAAAAAATCATCCGCAACTGGCCAACTGCCAACAGGGCACCAGTCATCTCAAACGGATACGGCTTCGGAGATGGAAATGGAGTCTACTTCCGGCCGCCGTACCGCCGTCGTCGATTCATGTAAACGAAATAACTCGAAAAGAAGAAACTATTCGGTCTTCGAAGTTCCGTCGAATTTTTTTTATTCCTGCCGTTTTGTTGAATGGATTTCAACCGGAACTGCTACGGAAAGTACTTTAGATGAAAGAGAGACGGCGGCGGAGAAGAAGAATTTCAGCTGTAGTGAGAGATGGACGTGTAATACTTGTAATTCCAGTTTTGAATCGCTTCATGATCAGCGGTCTCACTTCAAGTCCGATTTTCATCGATTCAATGTAAATCCTCTTATCCTAATAGAACTAATTGTGCATTTCTTATCATATCATATTTATTAAAAAATTGTATGTTTCATGAAGTATCAACAATTTGTATAGATTATCCGATGTGTATTTGAGCTGTATGAGAGTTTAAAGCCAAAATTGGAGTTGCTGGTTGAAATCCCGTCTCCCTTTTCCTTTGAACTTGCTTGAATTTAAGCTAAAAATTGAGTATAATTCCTCCAAGGGTCTGGTTACTGAAAGTGGCCATAATTTGTTGTTTTTGCTTAAACGTTGATGGAATACAAAGGGTTGTTAGTGAAAATGGCAATAGTAATTCAAAAAATATGAATGAGTGGCCACAGTTAGCACTTCCGTAGTTGGGTGACTGAACTAATTTAGTGTAATATTTGGATGACCATTTCAGTTGGAGTTCCCTTATTTTGTATTCTTGTTTCTATGCATCATGTTTTTACCTACCAACATATTATTTCAGATAAAGTTAAGCATTGCTGAAAAGGATACTGTTAAGGAGGAGGATTTTGATGAATGGATTTCCACTTCTTCTGTTAAAGATTATGATACATCAAGCATATCAGGTTCAGAAGATGAAGATGAAGATGACAGAGAATTTGGCCACCTTAGTGATTTAACTAGGGGATTGTTAGGAAGTAAGAAGCAGAAACTTTTTCTACATCTACCAAATGGAGAATTGATGTCATTCTGGAAGTGTTTGCTTCTAGGTGACTCTGAGAAAGCTCTTCTTGAACATGATTTATCTTGGTCCATGAACGATGATGATACGTCTTTTGTAACACTGAGGGAAGTGACTGAGAAACTGCTCAACGTGATCCATGAGCCTAGAGACAACACACATTTCAGGGTTATGTTGCTTGCTAGTGGTGGGCATTTTGCTGGTTGTGTCTTCGATGGAAACTCTGTTGTTGCCCACAAAACATTCCACAGGTTGGTGCTTAACTAATCTTTTAATTCTTAGGTGCATTTTAATTTGAGTGGCAATATAATTTCCCCAAAAAATTGTTTTTGAACTTAGAGTTGATCCTCCTTGCCCAGAATCAATACGTATCTTTATTTACTTCCCATGTTTGTACAAAGAGTTCATGGCATTTAGTAGCATATAAACAAAACCTCATATATACATGCTAAAATTGAATGAAACCTTGTCAACACCATCGTAATCCATTTGAGTTGCTACATACATTAGTTCTACGTGTATTACATGTTTTACCTCATTACATTGTTTGCTTGCACATCATTGAATCATGCATAGACAATTGAATCGGTATTCTACCTGTTTCATGTAGATATGTGACAAGGGCCAAGGCTGGCAAAAAGCAATCATCAGAAGATGCTAGTGGCAAAAATGCACATTCTGCTGGAGCTTCAATCCGTCGGCACAATGAACTTGCCTTGAAGAAGGTATCGAACATGAATAACCAATGTCAATTGGCAATATCACCAAATTCCCTATGGATGCGTTTGGTACACGGGACATTACAGAACAAAAACTTGTTGTCCCATGTTTGGCGCAACAATCAGATTGGGACAGGACAGGACTTTGTGGCACAAAAATGCAGTTCTTTCCCACCAAAATAGGTGGAACAAAAATCGGGAGATGGGAGAAGATAGGTAAATGACTAAACTATGCAGTTTTTGACCCGTTTACCTCACTCTTGGCTGTCCCAGTCCCACCTGTGTACCAAAAAAACGCACGTATGAGTCCAATCCTGGTAAAAAAAAAATACTATTTTCTCTTAATATGACATGAATTATTTCCCAAACTATAATTTAGCACTCCCTCTTTTCTCTGCTGGTTTTCCTATTTTGACTTTAAATGTCAAACATTTATTTACCAAAATAATAATTATTTATTCTCACTTAACATAGAGATAAACCTCATTTAAGTTACAAGTTTGTTATTTTTGGTTGCTTTAATCATCCGACTAACTCACACTGAACAATTAGGATATTCAAGAACTACTTGCTGCATGGAAGCCATATATTGATGCCTCTGCTTGTATTTTCATCCATGCTCCCTCACACAATCGGCAACTGCTATTCGATGGTCAAAATCCATGCTTCAGTTGTCAGAGAAATGTTATCAGACGCATCCCATTGACAGTTCAGAGGCCAACATTCAAGGAAGCTCAACGATTATATAAGATATTGACACAAATTTCCACTGAACCATATGAAGAGATAGTGCCTATTATCAAAGAAAAATCAACAAGTACGCCTGGCAAAGATAAATTGAGGAATAATCTGGACAAAAGGGATGTTTCTGAAGATAGTTTTGTTGAAAAAGTGGAAATAGTTCATATGTTTTCACCTCTACATGAAGCTGCGAAAGCTGGAAATGCAGACAAAGTTTTGGAGCTACTGGAACAAGGTTTGGATCCTTGTCTCATAGATGAAAGGGGGCGGACACCTTATAGAATTGCAGCAGGAAAGGAGGTTAGGAACTCATTTAGACGTTTCATGGCGTTGAACCTGGATAAGTGGGATTGGCAAGCTGCCAAAGTTCCCAGTCCATTGACAAAAGAGATGGAGGTATCTCAGAATGCTAAGCAGGTAACTACCGCGACGTGATTCAAAGATGTGTGCATTTTTTTCTTTTCTAGTAATTATGGTTTATATACTTCATTCTTTCTAACTGTTTGCATTGCTTACATTCTTGCACAAGCCGCTCTACTTTTATGGGTAGAGGTCAAGTCTGCATACATTCAACCCCCAAGACCCTACTTTCAAGCGGAATTTGTTGGGTCGGGTTGGTTTGGTTTATACTTAATTTAAGTAGCTTGAAGTCGCTAGATTGCATGGTAACCAGTAGTCCTAGTGGTGTGAATGAACCAGATATGGATTGAGTGCAATCACATCCAAATCTGCATCCACTTATATATAATATGTGCACAAGGATGCATCAATGCTATTGGATACGAATTTGGATATTGCATACTTGGCATGTGCCTGATATGAATAATATATTAATATTTATGTTAAAGAATTGTATCATGTAGTGAGCTATGCATATAATTCTCGTCTAATTGTCAAAATTATTTTTATCTAGCAACACATCCTATTTTTATAATTGGACATTTTACCCTCCCCAGACCCTACTCAGTTTGGGACTCATTGAGTTTGTTTGGTTTCGTTCATTTGGTTTTGTACAAATAGTAATCCTAGTGGATTTTCGAATATCCACTTGCAGTCCTAATTGTCACCTTGATTGGTGATCCATCTATGTTGTCTTTATTCTAGATTTGGCGGAACTCCCTTCGTACTGTGAGAAATTCAACGTTTGACTTGATGACTATTTATTAAATGTCTGAACTATGAAGTAACCTTTAGTACACACAAACTAAATGAATGTTGTGAGCCAAGTTAATGCCATCAACTTTTGTAGTTTTGATACGTTTCAAATAAGTAATCGACTTGTGAACGTCCCATGTCAATTTTCTTGTGGCGTTCCATAATTGGAATTTTTGAAGTTGTGTGTTGTTTATCATTAGCTAATGCACAACCTTATTCAATTGGTTTTTAGGCAAAGAAAGATGCTAAAAGGAAAGCAAGAGCCAAAGAGGTGAAATTGCTACGTGAAGCTAGAGAAAAGAAAGTTCAGGTGTTTATTTCATTATCCTAGTTCTAACTTGCAACGTGATAATAAAAAAATTTATATTGAAATTCTTTGAAGGACACTGATAATGTGATATGCAATGTGACAATGTGAAAATGCAAAAAAGGACACTATTCTTCACAAAACAAGCAGTTTTTGACAAAACGTACCAAGCTCTATGTTTTCCTTTTGGATTTGCTTTCCTAAATTCATCCAAAAATGCTTATTGTAGCAAATTATAGTGTTTCCTAAGGATTGTCTTAAGAATGACGGCTCATTCACAAAGAAAAACCTAGTGTTATGGTTCAAAAAGCCAATTACTCTTTTCTTAACATGAGACATTTGATCATTTGTTCCTGTTTTGAATTTCCCCCTGTTAAAACCATCTCCAAAATGACAATTAATGATGCATGCAGCTTATCAAATATAACTTGAATCGTTTTCCCATAGAAATTGCATAACTTTACATTTTACATCGTCTCATGAAAATTACAAAAAGAAGAAAAAAATCTGAAAGTGTTCGAGTAAGAATACTTATTTCTCAATTGTTAACATTTCAAAGAAAATGTTGATATTGACTTGGAGTCGTCTCAATTTTGTCGTAAATGGACATCTTTGCAGGAAACCCATCGGAGCTCCAGCAGGGTTGCCGGAGTTTTAGCTTTGGTCATTGGGAGTCTGTTGGTGATTGCCTTTGGTCAAATGGGCAGAGGTATGTGGTGGTTACAAGAAGTTATCTTAGGTGTCCTTTTGGAAGTTGACACAAATCACATTCCAACTTCTTGGCATGCCAAATGCCATAAATTTGGAATGTGTTCTCTTGGGTAATATTTGAGTTTCAGTCATCAACAATCAATCAATCCAACCCAATCTTTTATTAAAAACTAGAAGAGTACTCGTACAATGCAGCGAGACACATCTTGATTTTAATTTTCTATTTTATTATTTGTCTCTGTCGATGTTATAATTAGATTTTATGTGTTTTTAAGAAAACATTA